GGGAGACTTTCATTCCTCTCATAAATTGTTACCAAATCCCAAAATTCTACTTCCCTCCGATCAGTGATCTTGCATCCACTTAGTAACTATGCAGGGGAGTCTTCTTAAAATGATCCTCAACTTTATCTAAATTCAAACTAATTGAAAAACAAACATATATATTTTATTTTTTGCTTTTTGGGTCACACCCAGCAATGCACAGGGCTTACTCCTGGCTCACGCACTCAGGAATTACCCCTGGCGGTACCCGAGGGACCATATGGGATGCTGGGAATCAAACCCGGGTCGGCCGCGTGCAAGACAAACGCCCTACCCGCTATGCTATCACTCCATACACACACACACACACACACACACACACACACACACACACACACACATATAATACAGAGCACGTCATTGGTTTTGGGGCCACACCTAGTGATGCTCAGGGAACCATATGGGATGCTGGGAATCGAATCCAGGTGAGTCGCACACAAGGCAAGGGACCGCTTCGCTTTACTCTTTCTGGCCCCTAAAGCTCCGTTCTTGATTCTGGCAGTGGCAGGAAGGGCACCATACTGTTACCAAGGCAGCAGGGGCTCCAAGGGGCCAGGCAAAGGGGCAAACCACCTCTTTTCTTCTGTTTTATTCCTCACGTAAGTTTAATTAGATTTGAGAATTCCTCGATCATCGGACAGGTCTCACTCTGTCCCTACCCCCAAGACTTTTCACTCTCAAATCCTCAGTCCCAGTACCTCAATCATCTTGGCTCAGCCAAGTCTGCCGGAACCCTATTCATTCTTAAACACCTTTTTCTTCTTTAACACCATTTTCCTCGTGAAGCTTTTTTCCCCCCATCCGACTGCTCTTTCTCACTTTTTTTCAATGTTTTGTGGCAGATACGCCTCCCAGTGCTGTGTGCCGGCCATCTGTACCGCTCTCCTTTCTGAGGTTGGAAGTTAGAACTTTCTTTGCTTTTCTATCTGTTGCAGTATCTAACAATGTCTGCAGAGCAGATAGATATTCAAGAAAGACTGATTTTTTTTTTTCTGTTGTTCTTTTTGGGTCACACCTGGGGATGCTTAGGGCTGGCTCTAGGTCTGCACTCAGCGATCACTCCTGGCAGTGCTCAGGGGACAATATGGGATGCCGGGGCTCGAACCTGGATCGGCCACTTGCAAGGCAAACGCCTTCCCGCTGTACTATTGCTTCGGCCCCTAGAAATGTTAATTTTTTTTTTCCCCTTTTGGGTCATACCCGGTGATGCTAAGGGGTTACTCCTGGCTCTGCACTCAGGAATTACTCCTGGCAGTGGGACCATATGACCATATGGGACGCTGGGAATTGAACCCAGGTCGGCCGCGTGCAAGGCAAAAGCCCTACCCGCTGTGCTATCTCTCCAGCTCCGAAATGTTGATTTCTTAACTCTGTAATTCTTTCTATTTCTCTATGGACTTTTAGCAAAAGTTTTTTTTTCTGTAAGATGCCAAATGTTTAATACTAATGGCTGAGTATAAAACCCCAAACTATCTTTCTGAAAAATGCCAAACTAAATATCCTGAGTCCGTACTCTTAGAATACTGGTCCAGGAGGAGTACAGCTCAGACCGGCATTGAGGGACGAGCAGGAGTGGAACACACTGCCAGAGAGCTGGGGTCAGTGTGGCTAAGACGGACCTCAGACGGGATTCCAGAGACCCTCCTGAGTGGCGTGAGGCTTGAGGAAGCAGGGCCAGAGTCTGCAGGGGGCCCAGGCTCAGTCCCAGTCTCACAGGGTCCCCCAGGACCACTGGGGCGATTGCCACTAGCCTAGGGTGTGCGCCTGAATATACACATACATAATTTTTTTTTAAAAGAAAGTCCATGCTGCTGTGACTGCTGCAGTGTCCTGTCCCACGGCACTTGGCGTCATGTGCAGGGGAGCCCTGTGGGTCTCACGCGGGCCTGGGCAGGCTGGTGCCATGAGGGTCGGGGGAGAAGGCGGCGTTCCGAGGGTCGCTGGGGACAGACCTCCAGCCAGAGGCTTCTCTCTCCCACTCATCTCCGTCTCCTCGCCTCGCTCTACCGAAAAGTCCTGTTAGACATTCCTTTCCGTTTTCAGATTGATCCAGTTTTTGTTCTTGGGTCACACCAGCTGCTCTGGGCTTGCTTCTGGCTCAGCGCTCGGGCCAGTCCTGGTGGAGATCGCGAGACTCTGTGGTGCTGGGGATCAAATCCAGGCTGGCCGCATGCAGGGCCAAGTGCCCTCTTGCTGTCCAGCCAGCCCAGACTGACCACTGGAATGCAAATCTTAAGAGGTCCCTCTCTGCTTCCCCCCACTCAACCCAAAGGATCTGTAATCCAGGGAACCTAGGAATAGTTTCATCAATAAATCAATTTATTTAAAAGAATATGTTACAATTAATTACACTAAGTGACATTACCAAACAATTTAGAGTGGTTAGCTCTAGAACAAGAATAAAAGAAACACTGTTAGCCATCATGTGTCTGTGTATTTTCTCTTCACATTTCTTAAATCACAAATAAAAAATACAAGATACTGCAGTGAAAATACAAGTCGAGTTTCTCTCAAATAAATTAAAAGTATGCATGGCCTGGGGAAAACTGAAGCCCAGCTCACTGTCGGAAACAGGGTCATGGGATGAAAGGAATGTCCACGTCTCTGCGTCTGGCCAGCTCCCTCCCCTCCTGGGTTCTGCTCTCCCCAGCCGGGGTGTCGGGGCAGGCCTGGGGGGCTGTGCCCAGGGCTTAGAGAGGAGAGCAGGGGGCGGAGTTGGCTGAGGGGGGCCCAGAGCTGCACAGCCACGCCTCAGCCCTGAGCGTCCTCCAGTCCTGTCCAGCTTTTGCAGAGGAAGCCAAGAGGACACACAGGGGCTGGAGGAGGAACCTGGCACTGTGTTGGTGTCGGAAAAAGAGGGCCGTGTCCCCCAGGGCTGGAGACCCCTTTGAAAGGGCCCACAAGAGCCAGGCTCCTAAGTGCAGACGCTGCACGCGAGAGAACAGGTCACTGCCTGCCTGCGTCCTGCCACGGCTGCTGGCCTGGGTCACTGGAAGGCCAGCAGGGGCATCGCTGACATTTCCCAGACTTCTCCAAGAGCTCAGGCCTGCGTGAACACGCCCCATGTGCTGGACGGGGCAGGGCCCCGGGAGGGCAGGAAGGAGAAAGTCAGAACACAAAGGGAAGAGCAGAGGCCGGGGCCGGCCCTCCCCGCTGCCAGGAGCCGGCACCCATGGGGCAGTGCTTCCTCCTGGGTCACGGGAACTCGAGCTTCGACCAGGACAGAACTGGTGGGGCGGCTGGGGTGGCAAGAACTGGGAACTGGCTGGCTGTGCTGCCCATTTCCCAGAGACAAACTGCCAGAGACGACTGGGTGGCAGCCTCCCTGGGCAGAACCTAGGACTGAGGGGGGGGGGGGGGGCGGGGGCTGGAGGAAGGAGATGCAGCGAGCAGGAAGGAGCCAAACACGAACACGGCTTCATGCAAAGAAAAGTTTGAACCCACAGAACCCCACGGAGCCCACGAAGCCCCAGGCCCTGGCGGGGAGGAGTCGGTCTCGGGGCCTCCGGGCCCGCTCCTGCCCCTGCGGCCCCACTTGGAGCAGAGGCTGGTCCTGCGCAGGCCGAGGCCATGCCCGGGCACCAAGCAAGGGCTATTCGGAGAGGAACCGAACAGCTGCCTCCCGGGGCCACTCCCCTGAACGGCCCTTGAGGGTCGGCGCCTGGCCAGCCGCAGGTACTCCAGGACTTGTTCACACTCTCTAGGAGGTGGGGGCAGACGGTAGCCACCTGCCCACTTCAAAAGCTGCCACCAAAGGCCTCTTGCATAGTGGAGTGGCACATCGACACATCGTCTCCTTTCTAGGGGCCTTTGACTCATGATCAAGTTCATTTAAGCCAAAAAGCTGTGTCAAAGCTTCACATCAGGAATTATTGCCCGACGGTGATGTCCTCTGCAACCTGCGTCTGGCTCGTGGACTTCTCCTGGCTTCCAAGAGAGGGAGGGAGAAAGGACGGCCTTCCAGAGGTCCGGCAAGCAGGCGAGAGAGAGAGAGAGGGGTGGGGGGAGCAAGCGAGAAGGAGAGAGTGAGAGCGAGAGAGAGAGGGAGAGGGAGAGAGAGAGGATATATGGCCTTGTAAGGATCCACAAGAACAAGCTACGGAAGAGGAAACTCTGAACCACCCCTGCTGATCAGTGGCAGACACCGACCTGCCAGGCCACAAAGCAGGCGAGACAAAGAAGCAAAGGCTCAGGCTGTGTTTCAGCTGCATCAGAACCTGGCATGAGACAGCGGGGCCGCGTGGACAGAGCCCAGGGAGCAGCTCTTGGGTCCCACCAGGCCGAACTGCAAGGCCAGATGAGAAATTCTTTGAAGAGCCGAAGATTCACCCTAGGATCCGTGTATCTCAGAGTGAGACCCAGCCCAAATCCATCACACTCCCACTGCGCTCCTCTCCTGGGTCCTTGGCCAGCTTGGGTGGGTCAAGTTTTGTAGCCACTGTGGCTGGTACAGACCCTGGCCCGTGCCAAGATTTCCTGAGGCCTGGGGACACCGTCCGCTCTCTCTCTCTCCAACACTGTTCAAGGAAGCCGCAGAGACTGCAACAGGTCAGGATGGAGCAGGGAAAGGCTTACACACGCAGACGGTTTCTCTCTCCCCTGTCAGGGCCCCCCTTGAGCCTGAAAGGCCCCCACCTCCGCTCTGGTCCCAAGGGCGCCATCCCTGCTTCCACAGACAGGGAAGCGGGACAGGACGACTGTGAGGTGCATCCGAGTTGCCATGGCAACGCACCCTGGCCCACCCTCCCTTCGGTCCAGGCCAAGCAAGGGGCAGACTCCAGGGGCCGTCAGGAGCTGAAGGTGAGGGGGCGAGCCAGCGCCGTGGCTGGAAGGGAGAGATGGACGAGAAAACGGTCTGGAACCACAGGGCCGCACCGGGCGCGCAGACTCTCACCGCCCACCGAAACGCTTCCTCCCGCCCAGAGGCCTCTCGGGAGGTCAAGGAACAAGCTTCTCCCTCCTCAGACTCTGTGGCAACCCGTGAGCCATAATCTGTGCTCAATACAAAAAGGAAGGGAAAAAAAAAAAACTGATCAGGTTGTAAACTTTTCGAGTCCTTCATGAGGAGAGGTATTTTCCCTGTAAAATATTTTTTTTTCCTTTTTAAAGTTTGTTTCAAAATAAAGAGAGCAAGAGAGAAGTCATGAATTCTAGTGAAAGGTGTGTAAAAACACAAGCTAAAAAAGGTACTGCCATCAATATGAAATTTAAAAAGAAATATATATATGTATATACGTGCAGCTAATTTGTGTATATATAATTTTTACATACATACATATATATGTCTCAACAGTGCAAATGGATGGAGTTCATAGTTCCAGTTTTAAAAATATAGTACAAGGAGAGTCTGTCGGTACGAGGCCCCGGCGGGCAGCTACCTCTGGCGAGGCGGTGGGCTTTTCCTTTGCCTGTCGTGACTCAGTTGGCTCCAGGTGCTGACCAATCTCGTTCTCTACCAGCTCGATTCCAGCGACATGATATTCAGAGGGACTATTAATAATATTTAGTTTAGGACTTTTTGAATAAAATGCCTTGCTTTTTTTTTTTTCCTTTTTCTCTTCTTTTATGTTAATGGTTACTCTGTCTGACATGGGAGACGCGGGTGGGAGGATGAAGGTGACGAGGAGGGAGGGAAAGAGGCTAGGTGGCCACGTCCCGCTGCTGTGACCGCGCCATCTGGAAGATGTTCTGAAAGGAGGAAAGAAAGAAGGTCACTGGGGGCGTCTCTGGGCCCCCTCGGACGGCGAGGGGGCGTTCAGTCAGTCTGCTCGGCTCTCCTCAGGAGGGCTCCGGGCAGGAACACTGTTCCGGCTGCCTCCCGGCACGGCGGGGCCCTGTGGGTCCTGCAGGGACAGCAGGGGCTCTCCAGCCTTCCTGGGCACAGACACAAAAGCTGAGGTTTGTCCCAGCCACCAGGAGATGTAAAGAGGAGAGAGAATCCACAGCCCGCCCCCAAAGCCCCAAAGTTCCTCCTGGGACACCAGGAGAAAGAGGCCCATGACCGCTCCTCTGACCCACGCATGCTCTGCTCGGGCAGGTGTGGACGACAGTCACCAGCGGTACAGCAGTGGCAAACCTTCCCGCAGAAGGCGCAGCCCGAGGCCAACGGCCTCTCGGGGAGAATGTCCCGGGTCGGCGCTGGCGAGTGGTCCGGCAGGGAGGGGGCTTGCCCTCCCCCTGAACGGCTCTCCGAGCGCTGCCGGGGATTCCTGAGCACTGAGCCAGGAAGGAGCCCCGAGCACCACTGGGAGTGGCACCCAAACAAAGACAGAACAAAACGCCCTGGCGCCCAGCTCCAAGCTGATGTGCCCCGAGAGATGGGGCTGGGGCCATCTGAAACACACCACGGCGACAAACGTTCGTTCGTCCGACGCTGTTTAGGAAAATTACCTCTTTTCTCCACTTGAGCTCGCAGAATACCCTCTCGAAGCACTCGTGCATGTAATTGAACTGAAAAACACAACAGAGGCGCGCCCTGATTTCTCCAGACCCAGCCCTGGAGCGCCGGCTGCAGCCCCCCACCTTCCAGCCCATCCCAGCCCAGCCCAGCCCAGCCCAGCCCAGCCGGGGGATCTCCCGCCCAGAAAGCACCAGCGCAGGCCTCTGGGCTGGAAGCCGCTCACTGGCTCTTCTCTGGCTTCTCCTGGCGGCGACTTGATGCAGCAGGACGTGCAGTTCCCGATCCCAGGCAGCCCCGGGGTTCAGAGGCTCCCAGACAACCCAAGGGCTCCCTGCGGGTCCAGTCAATCGACTTGCACGGGTCCACAACTCACATAGGGTGTGAAGATCTTCACCCATCGAGGCTTCTTCTCTCCGCGCGCGTACTCGAAGCAGAAGGCCATTCCCTCCTCGTCGGTGTCCCACCGCTGCATCTCGTCCCAGGCGAACGCGATGACCTGGTTCTACACAAGGGCGCCGGCGTGAGCAGCCGGGCCACGCGGGAGAGGAGGGGAGAGCTGCCCCCACCCAGGGCAGAGACACTCCAGGGTGTGACAGGGCGCCCTGGGTGTAGCCAAGGCTCTGCACTGGCTCGTGACACCCTCCCTCTCCCTCCCAGAGGCACTGCCACTCCCCGGTCCCCGCCCGGCCTGCGCTCACCTCCAGCTGGCCCTCCTCCGTGCACGCATGAAGCTTAAAGTGCATGATGCTGATGGCAGTGACCACATGGCCCTTCCGCCTGGAGTCGCAGGCGCAGTGCGGGAAGGTGATCTCGTTGTAGCCCTCACAAGTCCGCAGCATGTTGAGGTACTAGAAAGTCCAAGAACGGGGACGGCAGAGTCACTGCGGGGCCCAGCTGCAGGGAACCGCTGCTGGGGCGGCACGGACTGAGGACCAGGGAGAAAGAAGCCCCTCTTGGCGCCGAAGCCGACGCCCGACTCCGGCTTCCAGACTCCCCACTTGGCCCGTCCGCTGCCCCGTTCGCGTTCTGGGAGCAAGGCCAGCAGCAGCAGGACTCAAAGGGAAGCCCCTGCCACCAAGCCTGCCCCGCACTCTCACCACAGCTCAGCTGGACTAAAGAAGCAAAGGCAGCTCAGATCTTCCCTAGCTCTTGTTCAATCAAGTTACAAAGATCTCAAGGATGAGAATTAAGCTACTCCGTATCTCGTAGTCGTAAAATATTCATACTGTAAGACACTTTTTTTGGCTTCCGTTTCTGGGTCACAGCCAGTGACGCTCAGGGGTAGCCTGGCTCTGTATTCAGGAATCACTCCTGGCAGCGCTTGGGGGACCAACGGGATGCCAGGGATCAAATCTAGGCTGGTCACCTGCAAGGCAAGCGTCCTACACCTGCTTTCCAGCCCCTACAAGACACTTTTTTTTTTTTCTGGATGGAGGTGGGCACGACTGGCAGTGTTTGGAGCTTACTTCAGGCTCTGTACTCAGGGATCATCCCTGGTGGACTCAGGGGACCATATGTGGTGCTCAGGACTGAACCCAGGTCGGCTGCATGCAAGACAAGCAGCCAAGAAAAACTAACAACAAAAGGTTGGAGGAGGGACCACACCCAGCAATGCTCAGGGCTTACTCCTGGCTCCGTGCTCAGGAATTTCTCCTAGCGGTGCTTGGGGCAAAATGGGATGCCGAGGATCGAACCCAGGTTGGCCACACGCAAAGCAAATGCCCACCTGCTGTATTCTCCCAAATCTTGGGGAAATTGTTTTGGAAAGCATCTGGACCGGGCTGGAAGGTGTGGAGGCCGGAGTCCGGAGTTTCCGAGTTGCACTTGGGCACCCACGGATCTCACCGGTGTCCCGCCCCCCCACAAACCACAACAAGCACCTGACCAAAATCAAATGACATATATGACCCTCACATGTCCAATGCTACAAGACCAATCCAGAGAGTTCTATCATCAGCCCGCTTATGGTCCCCTGAGTTATCCCTGAACACAGAGCCAGAAGGAAGGAACAAAAACCCAACCCCACACAAAACTCAACCAAGCCAGAGAGTCTGAACTGCTCATCCATCAGGATGCATGCCGGTGGGCGGAGCACACGAGGAAAAGGGAAGAAATCAGAGGGAAAGAACCCAAGAAGACTTCGGAGACCAGCGTGCCCTCAAGTGACCCAGCCTGCCCGAGAAGGGGAAGGCAGGCCCGCACAGACGGTCACGAGGCGGCCTCCGAGGGGAGGAAGGTCGCACCCGGGGCCGCTGCTGACTCTGCTCGGGGCTCAGTGCTCACGGCGCTCGGGGCCACACATGGGCAGAAAATCGTGAGTTGAACACTCTGTGCCAGCTCTGCGGCCAACCAATTGTGCTGGGACCAATGACTGCCGCACCCCAGACCTCGCTGCTGCCTCCGGGGCCTGCGGGGCTCTGGACCACTGCAGGAGCATCACGCCACTCGTCTGCTCGAGTGAAACAGCAGCAACCTTATAGCTGAAAAACCCACACACAGGGGTCAGAGGGAGGGGACAGCAGGGAGGCCTTGGCTGATCCCCAGGCTCCCATCAACGGCTCCCCGAGCCCGCCGGGAGTAATTTCTGAGAGTAGAGCCAGGAGTAAGCCCTGAGCACTGTTGGATGTGACCCCAAAAGCAATATATATATATACATATTTTTTTTTTGCTTTTTGGGTCACACCTGGCAATGCCCAGGGGTTACTCCTAGCTCTGTGCTCAGGGGACCATATGGGATGCCGGGAATCGAACCCGGGTTGGCCGCGTGCAAGGCAAACGCCCTACCCGCTGTGCTATTGCTCCAGCCCCCAAAAGCCATTTTTAAGAAATCACACAGAGAAGCAAGTACGGCTTCGCATCACTTCCTCCTTCCTTCACCATCATCCTTTCTAGGGTGGAAGGTGAGTCAGGGTCCCGTTCAGCCCCGTCATCCGCAACAACACCGCCCGCTAGACCCTGGCCAGCATGACTGGCAGGAGGCGATACAGAACATTTTCTTCTGGAGATCCAATCCCTTCATGGTCCCCAGGGCCCCACCGGAAGCGAGCCCTGAGCACAGAGCTCCGAGCAGCCACTGAGCACTGTCAGGTATTACCCACCCCCCCCCCACAATCCCCGCGACCCCAAAGACACACAGAAAATACCTATGGAGTTACAGATGTCAAATCCTCTTTTTGGAAAAGCACCGCCAGGGCAGATGGCTGAAGGGGCCGGGGGGGTGGGGGGCGCACAGGACAGGTTGGCTGCATGTACTAGTTAAAAAATTTCTTTAAACGTTTAATTTTTTCTACAATAAAATGTTACAAGGAAAAAACAGTGCCTCTAGCGTTGGGGGGTGGGGGGTGGGGGCTGGGCCTCGCTCTGCCTGCGCCCTTCAACCGGAGATGCTGACAGGCAACATGGCATCCTTTGGGAGAGACGCTGCTATTTGTAATTTTATTGATTTATTTTGGGTTTTGAGTCATACCCAGTGGTGCTCATGTTTGCCTTCCCTTCACATGGTGCCAGGGATCAAACCTGCTCTCAAACACACGTGTTGGCCTTCAGGGTCATTCCCAGGACTCCCGAACTATCCCCACTTCTCCCCCACCAAGGCTGGGAACTGAAACGAGGGCCTCGGGCAGGAGCACTGAGGGCTCTAGGGCTCAGCCACATCCCTGGCGCCAACTACTGTTTCCTTAATGTTTGTTTTTGGGTCCACACCTGGCAGTGCTCACTCCTGGTGGGCTCAGGGGCCATACAGGGTGCCAGGGATCCAGCCCTGGGCAGCCATATGCAAGACATGCTCTCCACCTGCTCTATCACTGTCCAGACCCCAACTAAGGCGCTTGTGTTCTATGCAGCGACCCCTGGTTGGATCCCCGACAAGCAGGAGTGAGCCTGTCAGCAAGGTACTCCCAAAAGACAGAGGGGAAAAAAAAATGCCCTCCCTCAACAATGAGTTGAAAATAAAACCATGTTTTAATCACAATGCTTAAATACAAACACTGATTTTGATTGCGAACTGTGGCCAAAATATGAGCTACCCTGAAGTGAATATCAAGGAAATCTACAGGAAGTTTATCAACCTGGTAGGAACCGGGGGGGATTTTGTAGACAGTACCTGGTGCAGAACTGAGCACCCTCCTGAGAAATCAAGAGAGAAGTGGTCGTGTCTGCTTGAGGGCGTCTAAGCGGAGTGACTGGATCTCACCTTCGCCTCCCCACCATGTGAGGGGGACAGGTAATGGCTTCTAGGGGCTCCTTCTGAAGGGGCAGCTTCACTGCAGTGAGGTGCTCGAATAAACAAAACTAATCTTGTATAAAGTTTAAACTCCGAGGGCGGCAGTGACAGTGCAGTGGGGAGGGCTCTTGCCTTGCATGCGACCAACGTGATTTCAGCCCCCAGCATCCCATGTGTTCCCGAGTTCATCCCATATGGTTCCGCGAGTGATCCCTGAGCACAGAGCCAAGAGTAACCCCTGACCACCACCAGGTATGCCCCAAAACCAAACACACACAAAATATTTTTTATCAGGTTTAATACCACCTGGTCATTATTAATAATAAAGTTTTATATTTGTAAGCTATATAATGAAGTTATAGAACTCTTAGCAACGAAAGTTCTATAAAAATCTCATTTGCTAGATGGCAGAATATGATTAGTATTAAGGTTTATGGTTTATATCCCTTCAATATTATGCTCTTTTTTTTTTTCCTTAATTTTTGGGTCACACCCAGCGATGCTCAGGTTATTCCTGGCTCTGCACTCAGGAATTACTCCTGGCGGTGCTTGGGGGACCATATGGGATGCCGGGGATCGAACCCAGGTCGGCCGTGTGCAAGGCAAACGCCCTACCTGCTGTGCTATCGCTCCAGCCCCCAATATTATGTTCTTAAAAGAAATCACTGACCAGGCTGCCCCAAAGTGGACGGATGGAATAATACGCTTACGAGGTAAAAAGGGACGTTTCATGAATAGCTGATGAAGACATGACCTACCATGACCATCTTCCTTTGTTCATACAGTTTCTGTAGTTGGTAGGATTTTTCCTCAGCTTTGATGTAACCTTTTTTCACATCATCAACAGCCTGTCACCAAAACAAAGGCGGGGAAGAGAGTTACGTCAAAATCATTATCAAGATACATTCTAGAAAAAAACAAAAAAGACACAGATTCATTTTCAGAATGACTTATCCACTTGGACCACCATCACCACCACTAAACTCTGCCTCAACAGGCGTCTTTGCCGAGTCAGCAGCGTTTTAAAAGTGCCTTGTCATAAGCTCAATGACTCCTTGAGCCATATATGGGCGCTGGAGTTAGAGAGATCTGAATTCCGGATTAATTTATTCATGTGAAACAATCAGAGGGCGCCGACAGATACATACAAACATGAACTAAGGGGCAACAGAAAAGTACCAAGCAGCCCTCGGAATTGCTGGTGTAGCTTTCTAGTTTTCCACACACCTCGTCGTCAGGTGTAGTTTTTGGGGAAACCTTGGTGGGATTCTGAGATAGGCTAAAGAGAAAAACTAGAAGCTGAAGTCTGGAAAGAGTGAACCCGAGTTCCTACTCAGGTCACGGATGTGTCTGGCTGAAATGAGAGACAGCGCTGAATGAGGAGGAAACGAGACTATGATGAACCCTCAAAAGCACGCAGAGATGGAAATGGGGGCCAGAGAACACAGTGGGGAGGGCATTTACTTTGCACATGGTGGACCAGATTTGATCCCGACACCCCCTATGGTCCCTCAAGCACCATTAGGAGGAATTCCCAAGTGCAGAGCCAGGAGTAACCCCAGAGCATGGCTGAGTCTGGGCCCCCCTTAAAAACAAAAAACAAAATCAGAAAGGAAGAAAAGAAAATTTAACAAATGGCAAAGAAGTTATGATATTTATTTTTTATTTTTTTTTGCTTTTTGGGTCACACCCAGCGATGCACAGGGGTTAGTTCTGGCTCTGCACTCAGGAATTACTCCTGGCAGTGCTCAGGGGACCATATGGGATGTTGGGAATTGAACCCGGGTCGGCTGCGTGCAAGGCAAATGCCCTTCCCGCTGTGCTATCGCTCCAGCCCCAAGAAGTTATGATAGTTATGATATTTATGATATTGATATTTAAAATGATATTTAAAAAGAAAAAAATAACCCAAACAGAATACAAGGGAACTGTCAGAAAAGGTGCATTCTTATAATTTGCTACAACTTGCTGGCCCATACTAAGGGGAAAGGACAAACACCAGATCCTATCACTTACACGTGGTAGATGTTTCTAGAAAATAAAGGACCAGTTATTTGGTAACAATAACAAACCGCTGGCTCTCGATCACAAACCTGAGACCACCAGCAGCAGGGCAGTGAGCAGGAGGGAGGGGCGGACGCAGGGGCAGTGGGCAGGGCTGGGCACTCCAGTGGGGTGAAAGTGCTGGAATGTTAACACTAGTGTACCCATGTTATCTAAACGATGAAAAAAATTAAGCAATTGTGGAAATTCAGCCTTTCTGTAATTCTGTCAGTTAAGATGCTAAGGGTCGGCGCCTTCATGCAGCGAAGACGGGGAGGCGGGCCGGAAGAGCTCACAGGGCTGGCGCGCCATTTCTTGGGAAACCAGGGTTTGTTCCCCAGCATCACATGGGCCTGCCAGCATCACTGGGAACAACCCTCAGCACTGCCAGGGCTAATTCTATGCAGTCAGTACGGAGGGGCCCACCTAAACCTTTATCTTAAGGTACAAATGATCTGTCTTTTTTTGGGTTTGTTTTGTGAGGGTGGGGACCCAGTGCAGGTCAAACACTGAATCACAAATTCGGGTTCTACCATTCCCTCTGTCTTTTTTTTTTGTTGTTGTTGCTTTTGGGTCACACCGGGCGATGCTCAGGGGTTACTCCTGGCTCATGCACTCAGGAATTGCTCCTGGCGGTGCTCAGGGGACCATATGGGGTGCTGGGAATCGAACCTGTGTCGGTCATGTTGGCTGCGTGCAAGGCAAATGCCTTACCTGCTGTGCTATTGCTCCAGCCTCTCACTCTTTTAAGGGAAAATATTTGTAGAACCGAATGAGTTTGGGATTGAAGAGACAAGGTCAGCTCTGTCACCTTTCTCTGTCACCTATCAGTGTGTGTGTGTGTGTGTGTGTGTGTGTGTGTGTGTGTGTGTGTGTGTAGGGGGGGTAGGTAGAAGGGCAGGGGGGCGGTGTTACTGTCTTAAATTATCCTCAAGTAGGGGCTGACCTAGGCTCAGTACTGGGGACCATAGGGGGTCCCCTGAGTCCCCCCAGGAGTGATCCCTGAGCACACAGCCGGGAGTGAGTCTTGAGCACTACCAGGTATAGCCACCAAAGAAACAAAACAAACAAAATCACTCTCAAAACGTGTGAAACAGAAAGAAAACTGCTCTCCTAGGAATACAACAAAGAGACAGCAGGTGTTAAATTTCATAAAGTGTATAACAATTATTATTTACATCATTGCTATTAGCATTCTTTAGCTGTTCGGTTCCTCTAAGAACCCCACACAGTTTGGTTATTAACACCTTGCGGGCCATCTGCGTAAGAAGAGTTTATAGTCCCAGGCAGACAGCCAGAGCTCTCAAAGGCACAGGGTAAGACAATCACGGAGAGAGATTCGGGAGAGTCGACCACGCACCCTCCAGGACAATCCAAACCGTTTATTTGTCACGGAAAGACTCAGCTGCTCCAAGAACAATTTATTTATTTATTTGCTTTTGGGGTCACGCCCGGCAATGCTCAGGGGTTCCTCCTGGCTCTGCACTCAGGAACTACTCCTGGCGGTGCTCAGGGGACCATATGGGACGCTGGGAATCGAACCCAGGTCAGCTGCATGCAAGGCAAATGCCCTACCTGCTGTGCTATGGCTCCAGCCCCGTTCCAAGAACAATTTAAAGCGACAATCGAGGCCCCTGCCCAAACCCCAATCCTGTGCTTCTATTTACAGGGCTTTCAGGGAGGAACAGCTTGAATCTGTGCTCAGTATGTCAGGCTCAGTCTACATTTAATAGCCCTACCATCTGGGTTGGTTGGGGCCACACCCCGCGTTGCTCAGGGCCTACTGGCTCTGTGCTCAGGGATCACTCCTGGCAGGCTTCGGGGGCCACATCGGAGTGCCGGGAATCAAATCCAGGCTAGTGACAGCAAGGCAAATGCCCTACCCACTGTACTATCCGTCCAGCCTCCCATGATGCATTCTAGCCTGATTTTTCAGGGCTATTCCCCAGGGGTGACACTTGGTGTAGGAGTTCCAACTCAGGGCTCACACATGCTAAATGTGAACCCCACTGTTGAAATGACCTCCCGAGTCCTCAAATTTACTGATACACACACACACACACACACACACACACACAGGCTTTTTGGGTTACACTTGGCGATGCTCAGGGGTTAAACCCAGCTCTGCACTCAGGAATTATTCCTGGTGGTGCTTGGGAAACCATTTGGGATGCTGGGAATCAAACCCGGATAGAAAGGCAAGGTAAACGTCCTACCCACGGTACTATCACTCCGGCCCAGTCATACTTGTTTTTAAAGGAAATAGTTCATTTCCATTACCTAATACTCCATCGAGTCTAAGGAACACCTTTTCCACATCTGATCACATCTGGAACTAGACAATCAATGATGTGTCCGCTTAGATGGCAGCTTTTTCCCTCTTCCTTTGCCGTATATAAAATACTATCTTAAGTGTTAGTTCTTAAAGGCATTAGTTCCCTAGTTAGTAGAAAAATCAGGGGCCAGCATGACAGTAGAGCAGGGAGGGTGTTTGCCTTGCACGAGGCCGACCCAGGTTCGATCCCCGTCACCCCATATGGTCCCCCGAGCACCACCAGAAGTAATTCCTGAGTGCAAAGCCAGGAGGAACCCCTGAGCATTGCCGAATGTGACCCAAAGAACCCTCTCCCATCCCCACCCCAAAAATTATCTGTCTGTGTACACTGCTGGGAATGTAAGAATGCTGCCCCTCCATGGACGCCAGCATGGTGGGTACTCAGAAAAATCAGACTAGAGCCACTGCTGCATCCACTAGTCCCAGTAGGAGGGTGTTAAATGAAGAGGTGGACTGGAACAAGGACACTAGCCAGGTTCTAGGCACTTAGGCGGGAGAGGAGTGGTAACTACCCCCACACCATTAACTCCTGCAAACATGAGCAAAACTACGATCAAATTCAAAAATGGAAAAAACGGGCCTGCCTTGCATGCACCTGACTAGTTTCGATCCCTGGCACCACAAACGGTTCCTGATCCTTGAGTGTTCCCTGAGCGGAGAGTCCGGAGTAAGCCCTGAGTAAGCCGCGTCTGGCTCAAACGCTCCATTCCAACCACCCAAAGGAAAACAAACAAAAAACCACACAACCAGCATATTAAAGGAATATTTTGCACACCCATGTCTATAGCATCATAATAGCCATGAGTTAAGGCAATCGAGCAGTCCATCCACAGGTGAATAAAAAAATAAGATATAAATAGACAACTGGGAAAAGAGCGGCTTGGAATGCCTTCAAGAGCATTGAAGAAATAACTAAAAGGACAAAGAACCTCCAGCTACGAGCACATCTCTTTGATTCCACTATTCTTCCTGCATTAACATATGCCTCAGAGACCCGGACCCTACGAAAACAGGATGAGAACACTATTCGGGTCTCTCAAAGAGGAATCGAAAGAGCTATGCTTGGAGTAACACGCTTCACTCAAATGAGAGATAGAATCCGGAGTTCTGATCTTCGTCAACGCTCAAGAATCAGGGACGCTGTCTCATTTGCCAAGACATCAAAAATCAGATGGGCTGGACACGTAATGAGGTTTACAGACAACCGCTGGACTAGAGCCATTACTGATTGGATTCCACGGGACATCAAAAGATCACGTGGACGCCCACCTATAAGATGGTCAGACTTCTTCGTCAAGACCCTGAATGATCGGTTTGAGGCTCTGCATGTTCCTAGAATGAACAGATGCCATTGGGCTACGCTAGCACGCAACCAGGATGAATGGAGACGTTACTGGCACCCGCTCGAGCAAATCAATGAATAACGGGGATTAAGTGATTAAGTGAAGTGATTAAATAGACAACACAATTATTATTTTTCTGCCTTAAAAAGGAAGGGAATTCTGTCATATACTATAATATGGATGAACCTTGGGGACAGACAGATGCTAAATGAAATAAGTCAAACCGAAGAAATCCTGTACGATTTTGCCTAGATAAGCTATTTAAGACAGTCAGTCCCTTGGAAGGGTGAATGGTGCCTGGCAGGGGCTGTGAGGAGGGGGAAAATCATGGTTTGTTGTTTGTTCGCTTGGTGTTTTGTTTTGTTTGGGGGCCTGAGCTGGTGGGTTACTCCTGGCGGTGTTGGGAGACCATGTGAAATGCTGAGAATCAAACCTGGGTCGGCTGTGTGCAAGGAAAGTGCTCTACCTGCCGTGTTACTCTCTGAGAATGAGCCTCTGAAAATGAGCATCTTTAGTGGATACAGAGTGTGAGTTTTGAACGATGGAAATCTCTGTGGCAATCAGCTGCACACGAACACGAAGGCACTTCTTAGTGAGCCACTTCTCAGGGGGTGCTGGAGGGAGGGGGCAGGGTGAGGCATCTGCCTTGCCACGTGACCGACCCCCAGTGTGAGTCGCGGCACGTGACATCCTGAGAAGTGCCAGGATGACCTCTGAGCACAGAGCTCAGAGTACTGCCAGGTGTGGCCCACCCGCAACAAAAAAGTTAGTACGCATTTAAAAAAAAAAAAAAAGGAGGGAAGAGCATGACTATTATTCTATGACAGGTCAGAAAAGTGACCTCAGCAAAAAATTCTAAGTTTTCACCCAATGCAGAGCTGAACTTGAACCAGATACTCTGACCTGGGGTTAGTGACTTCCATTTCACAAAACAAAAAACAATCCTCGCATAAAGATAGCAGACACTACCTGGGATGTAAGGATGTAACATGTCAAACTAAATTGCAGAACTAATCTACGGATGAGACGAATACAATGAAAAAAATTCACTGGGAATACCATACTTACTTACTTACTTTACTACCATATTTAATAAAAATGATGATTTTTCTTCAGTTACATTATAAATTTAGAGCCGGAGCAACCGCTCACTGGGCTCAGTGCACACTTCACATGCAAGAGATCCACGTTCAGTCCCCAGCACAGGCCCCAGGCATGGCCCAGGACAGCCTCTGAGCTGCTGGGTGCTGATCCCAAGCAACACCAAATAAAGACCCTGACAGCTTTAACAAAAATCCAGCTAGAATGATCATAGGACACTTTATGACATACTGTAAAATGCTAGAGGAAAAGAAGAGTTAATATTCATGGTATGACTGTTGTAATTCATAATCATAAAAATATATATAATCTGAAAAGATGATAATAATCTAACTACATTAAGGACAGAGAGATCGAAAATACAGATCGGCATATAGTCGGAGTGGAGGACGGACCGGATTAACACATCGCAGTCTTCTTAGAAAGAAAGGGAAATTAAGATACTACTTGAGTCTGTAAAATAAATTCAGAGCAATATAACCAAGTTGTAAAATATATAACCTTGCGACAGAACAGTGGGTAGAGCATCTGCCTTGCATGTGACTGAAGCGAGTTCAATCCCTGGCATCCCATAGGTTACCCCCAGCACCACCAGGAATAATTTCTGAGTGCAGAGACAGGAGGAACCCCTGAGCAATGCTGGGTATGACCCAAAAGGGCACACACACACACACACACACACACACACACACACACACACACACACACAACATATTAACATAGCAAATAGAATGACTATGATATACTAGAAACATAGAAATATGAAACAAACTGACAACAAAAACAAGCTGAAAGAAGTGGTCACAGGTAGAGACTGACTACAGAATTTTTTTATAACAACATCTAGAACAGTTTGGTGCTTTAAACTCTTGATGTAATTTTGATAAAGAAAAAAAAAACCTTTGAAACCACAGTCATTAATTAGGCTCATTTCTGCTTAAAATGATAGTAATTATATCTAAAACTCCAGGATATCTCGTTTTTTGAATGTAGAGTTCTCCGTGAAACGGGATAGAACACTTTGCAATTTAACTTGGAGCAGGAGACCAACGTTCCAAAGAACCCACCACCCATCAGATATAACAGAGAAGAAACGAGGCCTTTGGAGAAAGACATTTCATTCACCTGATGAAAGAAATAGGTAACTGCCAGGTCATTGTCGTTTAAGAGGATTTCTTCTTCTGTTGTAAAAAGCCATTTTCGAATGGTCAGGCAGGTGCCTGGCACGGCTGACGTGTAATTCTGGACGTAGAGTTTATGAGGAAATTCGTTGGGTGCCAGCTTCCGTACTGAAAGGGCAAAACACAGAAAGGAGACATAAGAATGAGTCGAGCACAGACTGCATCGGACAATCAGGAGCGAGCTGCAAATGACGCCTGATCTCTCAAAGAGCCCCGCCTCGGGGCCACCAACTCTATGACGCCATGGGCAGCTGAGCCTGAAGCTGACTGACCGCCACAGTCTGACTAACATGCCGACTTGGCAGAGAGCACCTACTTCAAGCTTAATGAAAACATCCCACGCGTTGCCTCGTAAGTTCCAGCAATGTCACTGAATAGATTTAGAGGAAGTCTCTCTTTTTATTCAGTTACAGTGCATTGGGTGGTTCCTATTCCGATTCTCAATGAATTGGGATTTTTTTTTTTGTTTCTGTTTTGTTCAGAGCTGCATGGTTCTCCCCACTCCATGACTGCAATCCTAGGAAGTTAATCAACGTGAAAAATATCGTTTGAGTAACAGTGTTTCCTCTTCTGAACAATGCACAAGGCAGACAAAGCGTTTATGATATCTAACTTCTCTAGAAAGCTCGGTTTCCTTCTCTTGAGCCTTTAATCCTGCAAAAACACAAGTTTACTCTTTGCCCTGTCATTATAAACTACAGCTTAGAAATGGACGAGACTTGAGTTCCAGTGTACTGGCTCCCTTGCAGTTCTTTGGAAGTTGTCTTCCTTCCTTCCTTCCTTCCTTCCTTCCTTCCTTCCTTCCTTCCTTCCTTCCTTCCTCCCCCCCTCCCTCCCTCCCTCCCTCCCTCCTTTCTTTTTGCGTCACACCTGGCAATGTACAGGGGTTCCTCCTGGCTCTGCGCTCAGGAATTACCCCTGGCAGTGCTCAGGGGACCATATGGGATGCTGGGAACCGAACCCGGGTCGGCCGTGTGCAAGGCAAACGCCCTACCCGCTGTGCTATCGCTCCAGCCCCGTAAACTGTCTTTCTTATGCCTCAGCTGAAGCTGTAGGAATCTGAGAAGAAAAAGAAGAGGGGAATGGCTGCTTCAGGGAGAATCAGACGCTGTCTGTGTTGATCTGGGAGAGCAAACTGACCGTTCTACTGGGTTCTTCCCTCTGGAACGAGGAAGGACGAATCAAGTGAACTCTCACCTTGGCCTTAGCTGACTGGCCCTTCCTCCTTTCAGAAAGAGAAGGAATTTGGGAGACTCTCTGTGTTCTCTCTCTTACGAGAAGGGAGGATCCTTCTTTTCTCCTCCTCTGCCGTCCCCCCTCTGGGGAAGCCGGTGTCTTTTCTGCCTCTTGCGTCCTGACATTCTGAGTGGGGAGGGCATATGAGGTGGCAGGCTCTGGACTAACAGGCCTGGCACACCTTAGGGATGTTCTACCGGTGAGCACACTTCCAGCCGCTTTGTGGTCCTAATACAACCACTGTGTTCCTCATCTTTAGCTTTTATGAAATAAAATAGGTATTTACTTTTTATTTACTGCTATCATGCAGAGTCTCATTCCTACTTTGGACAAACTGGCAGGCGACCGAATGCAACCTGCCCACACGGCAGAGTCTGGCAAACTCCCCGTGGTGTCCCCAATATGCCAAATACCAGTAACAATGAAGGGTTCCATTCTCCTAACCCTGAAAGAGCCTTGAATATGGCACTTTTTAAAAAAAATCTCAGGGCTAGGACGAAGGAGACGTTACTGGGGCTTCCTCGAGGCAATCGACGAACAACAGGATGGTCGTGATCGTGATCATGCAATAAACCTTCCGAGAAGTAATCTGTTCATAAACATTTGTGTGTGTGTGTGTGTGTGTGTGTGCGCATATACACACTTACCTATGTATTATTAAAGCAAAATTTTAGATCATTTCTAACTCCTAAAAACAGAAAGTTATTTATTATTATTTTTTTGTATTGTGGCCACTCTGGGCAGTGTTCAGGTCTTATTTCTGGTTCTAAGCTCAGGAATCACTCCTGGCAGGGCTTGGGGGTCCATGTGGGATGCTGGGGATCGAACCCAGGCCAGATGCGTCAAGGAAAGCCTTGCCTTCTGTACGACTGCTCCAGGCCTCGGGAAAAGCTATTCTTAAAAATCTACAGAAAGGGTTCATCATGCCTACGGCTGGACTCCCCTGTCCCACAACTGAGCCCTGCAGAGACGCCAAACTGCCAAAAATTTCAGGTACATTAGTTTTTTTTTTTTTCCTCTGCTGAAAACTCTGAGCCTTTTCATAGTGGGAGGTGGGCCCCTCCCCTGCCCCCCCCGACTTCCAGAAGCCCAGCAGCCCCCCACACCCACGCCCCACCACTGCCGCCTTCCATTATGTAAGATCAAAGCCCTGTTAGACATTCTGGATTTTCTGGAACGACACCTCCAAACTCTACGATTCTAACTTCCCAAGAGGCGCTCACTAGACTGAATGGGAATGTAACACGGAGGCCAATGAAGCTTGGTTAACAAAAACATCAACACAGAAGGCCCAACTTGCAACAACAGCTTAGTAAACCTTCAAACACAACACAATCACACACACACAAATCATCCTGTTATTCGTCGATTGCCTTGAGCAGGCCCCAGTAACGTCTCCTTCGTCCTAGCCCTGAGATGATATTCAAGGCTCTTTAGGAGAACGAGACCCATCATTGTTCCTGGTATTTGGCATATTGGGTGCGCCACGGGGAGTTTGCCAGACTCTGCCGTGTGGGCAGGCTACATTCGGTAGCCTGCCAGTTTGTCCAAAGTAGGAATGAGATGATAAGATGTCATAATAGGATGTCCTTGCTCAAACACAACAATTGTCACAAATGTTCTTTTATTGAAGTCCTTTCTTATCCTTGATACATACATTAGCCATTTAGTGGCAATAAGCAGTATAAAACAAACTGCTGTGGGGGCAGGCTTGAGGAGTGGTTGGGAAAACGGAGATCGTGGTGGGGGGAAGGGGACAAGGTCTGTGGGACAGGCACTGAAATATTGCATGCCTGCAACAAATAATCACGAACCACTTTGTTCGCGGTGTTTAGGAGAGACCAGACCCCAAGAGCATACGTGTCAGTGCCACAGTAAACATATTCCCTTCACTAAAACAGAATTTTAAAAAAAGCTACAGAAGACCAAGTTGTCTGAAATCAGTGACGGCTAAAGGGAACAGCTGTTCTCTTCAGGCCATTCCACTGAAATATGCGACTTTAAACCTTTGATTAAGAACAACCTAATAAAGCAGCTGCCTCAGTGGTAGGCTTCAGTTAACTGATTTGCAAAGGAGAGACAGAGTCAACCGGCGGTTAGATTCACTCCTGACGTGAGTCTCGTGGGGTCTCTTAAGGCTGCTTGTTGGAGACAGTTTTAATAAATGGACTTGCCCTTGTCGGAAACTTCTTCTCTAGGTAAATGTTTTCAATCTGACAGCTTCGGAGGGCTTAGTTGGAAAGCATTAAAATAAAATACCCAGGGGCCCAGGGAAGGAGCTCAGTGGAGAGCAGATGCACGCTTGACGCCCTGGACTGGGCCCCTGGCACTGTAAAAAAAAGGATGAGGGGCTGGAGCAATAGCACAGCAGGTAGGGCATTTGCCTTGCACGCGGCCGACCCGGGTTCGATTCCCAGCATCCCATATGGTCCCCTGAGCACCGCCGGGGATAATTCCTGAGCACAGAGCCAGGAGTAACCCCTGTGCACCGCCGGGTGTGACCCAAAAAGCAAAAAAAAAAAGGATGAAAGATGAAAGGTCCAACAGACAACACAACATTAGCTACTGCGTGTGATGTTAGTTACTTACCAAAGGAATGATTAATCACTTCGAATAAGGCGAAATAATTCACCGTTGTACTGTCCATGCCGACCTTTGCTGCGATGGCCTAAGGCATGAGCAGGGCAGATTAATTTTAAGTCAAACAACACTAAGGGAAAAGACAAAAACACGCGCACACACGCGGAAGGGGAGGGAGGCAGAGCCTGGGGGTGGGAATGCGGCCCCCCCACCCGGCACAGCCTCCCCCGTTCCAATGGAAGCCCAGAGTTCAATCCTGAGTGCCCAAAATATTTGTTTTCAATTGAGAAGATTCCGATTTTGCCAGCCTGGTGTCACAGAAACTATTTACCGTTCAAGCTACTCTTTACACAGATATGCACCTATGGTTGCTTCTGTATTAGTACTGGGCCCGCTCGAGCAAATCGACGATCAACGGGAGGGCCTTGACTGTATTAGGTAAAAGGACTACATCTAAATTTGGTTCAAATATTATCTCTAAACAGAACTTTCTCCCCTTCAAGTTTGGGAGAAAATGGTTTTTCCTGAATACCAGCTTTCCTCTCTGAAACGGTTTCGTCACACTAGGATGTTTTGAAACGTTACTTTTAAATGTGCTGGCAGCCAGCCAGAGAGGTGGTACAGCTGGGAAGGTGCTTGCCTTGCATGCCAACCTGGGGCTCATCCCTCGCCCCACGTCTGGTTTCCTGACCCCTTCCAAGAGTGGTCCCTGAGTACAGAGCCAGGGGTAAGCCCTGAGCACGTTCAGGTGTGGCCCCCAAACAAATGAAAACACCAAGAGAGCAAGGATGTTATCGTAAACAAATGGGTCATATCAAAAGATATAGAAGATAGAACAGGAAATTCCACTGGTCAAAGATAGACTATTTGAACCCCCAGAGGCAATATCTACTATTATAAATCATACCGAATACCTAGGTCTGGAGCGATAGTACAGCGGGTAGGGCATTCGCCTCACACGCACCAGACTCAGGTTCGATTCCTGTGTCCTTCTCGGAGCACCTGGCAAGCTACCAAGAGTGTCCCACCCGCACAGCAGAGCCCGGCAAGCTCCCCGTGGCATATTCGATATGCCAAACACAGTAACAACAAGTCCCACAAAATGGAGACGTTACTGGTGCCCACTCGAGCAAACTGATGGACAACAGGAGGACAAAGCTACACTGTTACTGAATACCTAAACACCCCGGGATAAAATACAAAACAATGATCTCATTGACTATCATTAGATTGTACTAACATACTAACCGTTACTCTGAAATTGAAAATAAGGGAAAAAAAACTAAAAATTTATCTTTCCTTTCCGACAGACTGTATTTCGGGATAACCACCCCTCTCGGAGAGCCCGGCAAGCTACCGAGAGTATTGGATATGCCAGACACAGTAACAACAAAGTCTCCAATGGAGACGTTACTGGGCCCGCTCGAGCAAATCGACGATCAACGGGAGGGCCTTTACCTTTACCTTACCCATATTTCATTGGTAAGGACAAGTTCTTTATTGCAGTTAAGCAAAATATTGAAAGAATCAGAAAATCGCTGGCTCAAGTAGCAAACATTGATGATATGCTCATTCGATATAAGATCAACGGGGAATCTCCCACCGGGAAGATCAGGTCATCAGCATTCGCACTCACTGACCCATCTTCTGCCACTGACGGCAGATGGCCTTACGCTGTGCACCTCCTGATGAGAGGCAATATGAAGAACAGAGCACCGATTACGATTTATTCTTATCCAAATATGAACTGGAATCTAATAAAAATCCTAGGGGCCAGAGCCACAGGACAGTGCAGGGCATTTGCTTTTCACACAGCCAACCTGGGTTTGATCTCCAGCACTGCACAGAGTCCCCTGAGCCTGCCAGGAGTGATCCCTGAGCACAGAGCCAGGAGTAAGCCCAGGAGTAATTTTAAAAAATATTCAAACAAGTGGAGCGCATGCCCAATTCAATCAGCCTAATCAGTGGCTGAATAAACAGCAGTACTCCTACATTTAAAAAAATTAAACAAAAATCGATCAATAAACATACACGATTTCAACAAAGGGAAAGAAAATGAGAATTTTGCATAAAATGACAATGCTGTCACCTACTAACTACGTTAGTCGGGTAGATGGAGACACTGTACTCTTGTTCTCGCAGACACTGGAAAGTTCTTTCCGGGCCTGGGAGAACACGTGGTGCTTTCAGCACCTGCCTTCTACGTGTATGGTGGGAGGTTCAAATCCCCAAGACCCCACATGCATCAAGTGCCATCCTGGCCGTTGCCAGCTACGATTCCCAGTGCCACAAGTGACTTCTGGGCACATCACAGCCAGGTACACAACAGCACCACAAAGAGGCTGTGGCCTCTACACAGCAGACCCAGGTCCGTGTTCTGCACGCAGAGCCTGACCCTGCTGGGCACGTGAGCGAGCACAGGGCTTAGAGCACTGCGGCCAAGTGTACAAGCACCACAAGCTGACGTGTGACCCCTGGCAAGCACCGTGATGAAAAACGATCAAGCACCAAGACCAGGCACAAGCGCAGCTCTGGTCACGGTAACAGATTCACCGACAACGAATCAAATAAAAAATGTTCCCACAATTAAAAGAGGGGAGTACGTTGATCACGGCCATTACAATCCAGACCATCTTTCTTTCAAGGACAAAGTACTTTCACATTAACATCACCAATAATTGCAGTGCACATCTAGTAACTTTGCGGTGTGCCAGATACTTGAAGTATTTTAATTCAACCTATCACCCACAGCCTTAAGCCACTTAATGTCAGTCTATTTTTTCCTGCTTGATTTACCTGATAAACTTGGTCTGTAGTACTGTTCTTTTTAACCCGGACTGTAACTGTCGTTCCGTCTGGTAATGCTACTCTCAGCTCAACGTCCGACACTCCATTGTAGTTCTGGGAGAAAGACAGGAAGAAGTTAGGATCCAAGGTACCCTTATCCTTATCACTATGAACTAGCTGCACAGCAACCTGCAGTGACAGAAAGCAAGCTCACACGAACAGGGGAAGACACCTTCAAAGCAAACAGCACGGGGCCATGCGGGTTCGACACTGGCACTCCGCAGGCCAGAGAGGATGGGGCATTTGCCGGGCATGTGACGACCCATGTTCGATCCCCAGCATCTCTCCCTGGCCCTCCATATTGTCCCCTGAACACTGCCAGGCGCAGCCCTGGTGGCAGCAACACGACTAGGGCAGCCTGGGGGTCCTGGCCACGTGGGCCACAGCAGCACTGCATCCCTGAGCACTGGACCAAGAGCCAACTGGTGAGAGCTGATGTGGGGGCCCTGGTCCTCTGGAGCCTCACTGGCAGCCCCACCTGCCCCCCCAAAAAAATAAGTAGGGGGGGCTGGAGTGATAGCACAGCGGGTAGGGTGTTTGCCTTGTACGCAGCCAACATGACTGATGCAGGTTCGATTCCCAGCACCCCATATGGTCCCCTGAGCACCGTCAGGAGTGATTCCTGAGTACAGAGCGAGGAGTAAGCCCTGAGCATCGCCGGGTGTGGCCCCCTTCCCCCCCTCAAAAAGGGACGTTACGGGAATTCAATTCATAATGAATTCTCTCATTATAATTCAATTCCCACCGGCTACCTTGACTCTACTTTCCCTCAGGAGGAGCCAAGGGGCATTATGGGGACCTCCACCCACCTCGTCTGATTCCGACAGGAATTCCTGCATGATGTCGCTCTCACCAATAACGCGGATTGAACACACTGCGGAGAACAAAAAAGAAAACCTGGAATGAGATCTGGAATCGAGAATCCAAAGGGAAGAATACACACCCTGGTCGAAGCATTGAAGCAGCAGCAGGCGACTCGGAGGAGTTTGCCACGTCTGACGTGGCACGTTGCAGGGGGTGGCGGGGAGGCTGGGAACAGACCTGGCTGTGCGCAGGGCTGACTCCTGGCTCCGCACTCAGGAACAACATGCAGTGCCAGGGACCGAGCACGCGGAGGACACAGGGATCTGCTACAGGTAAGGGAAGTGCCCCAGCCCCTGGATGACGTCTCCAGCCCTGTATTACTTGTAATATTTGAGGCACGACAAGCAATATGCAATAAAAATGGCCCAGGAGAGAAGAGTGAAAAATATAGTTTGTGAAAAAATAAACAGGGACCAGGAGATACGACAGTGGTCATGTGACTGACCAGTCCAGTCTCTCAAGGTCCTCTGACCATGGGGGGGGTAGCCCGGGTCGCCCAGCACTGAACCCTCACACCCCTGCACTGATCCACAAGCCCAACTGCAAGAATCGTCAGTGGGCACCCTCATCTCCAAGTGTCTCTTGGGAAACACTCTCTCCCCCCTGAAATAATAACAAATAGCCGAAGAAAGTCACCCCCCAAAGAGAAATAAGACAGCACAGGAGGGAGGAGAGGAAAAAAGAAAGACACAGGGGCTAAGTGACCATGCACACGGCAGACCCGGGTTTGACCCCTGGCAACCCACAGGGTCCCTGGCCTCAAAACAAAAAGCCAACAAAAGAAGAAAAAGAAAACCCAGCCAAAATGAGAGACAGTACAGTGGGGAGGGCGCCTGCCTTCCTCTCACGGGCCTGGGTCGCGGGTTGGATGCCCGGCACTGCCAGGAGGGACACCTGAGCACGGCTGGGTGCGAGCCTCAAACCAAAACAAGTAACACAACTTCCCCCTAAATAAAAAAAAATAATAAAAAACCAAGAAATAAAAGTAAATCTAACTTTCTGAGGTAAAGTGTTAATAATCTGAACAAAAGAGCAAGAGTAGGCCATCTAAAAAACAAAAAAAAAACCAAAAAAACAAATACAGAAGCAAAATACAGAAGGGAGAAATATCTACCTGGCCTAGGAATTGCCAAATTAGGCTACAAAAGCCTAATAGCTAATAGCTTAAGAAGGCTATTCCGAGAAATACCCAAATCATTACAAGTCACTTCATAAGAAATGAGTAGGTAATTAAGTATTAAGCTGAGCACAGAGTTGTTGTTCAGTTCTGTTTTGTTTTTGAAGTCAGTGATTTTGGCTTCAAAACAACAACCAAAGAAAGAAAAAAAGGTTAGGTAGCTGACTGCCTAAGTCTAAGACAGTTCAATTCCTGGCACTCTCACGAGAATGGTAAATTACACCGACGATTTTATTTTACTTCATTATAAAAAATGATATCCTTCCTCATTTCCCAAGGGCTACGTGTGGAGGTCACAAATGCGGAAGTTACACTACCTTCTTCGGGAGAAACATCTTCTCTTTATTTTATTTATTTATTTATTTATTTAACATTTTTCTCTTCAGAGAGAAGGCTTTTTATTTACCAAACCCCTGAAAACTAGACCAGTAAGTTTGTTCTGTGCTGTTTGGGGTGACACCCAGCGGAGCCAGGGATTATACCCCGCTCTGTGCTGGGGTAGGGGTGTGACTCTGGTGCTTCTTCTGGTGACCCAAGAGCTCGGTCCCTGGGATGAACTCTGGGCCTCCACATGCAAAACACGGACTCAGCTCCAGGTCCTTAGTCCCAGGTCACTCAGTTCTGGTAGAAGAACACAGAATTACCGAATACCATGTAAGAACCTCATTTTATTAAACTAGCCACGTAAAAAGATCACACAGTGGTAGTAAAGCCGGGTATCTGCTCTGAGACACAAAATAAACAATTTGTCATTTCTGAGATTTCGATTTGCTTAAGGGGGCCCAGTAACGTCTCCATTGTGAGACTTCTTGTTACTGTGTTTGGCAAATCGAATACGTCATGGTAGCTTGCCAGGCTTTGCGGTGCGGGTGAGATACTCTCGGTAACTTGCCGGGTTCTCCGAGAGGGGTCGGGGAATCGAACCTGGGTCAGCCAGGTCGGCTGCTGCAAGGCAACGCCCTACCCCGCTGTGCTATCGCTCCAACCCAATTTCTGAGATAACAAGTGAATTTCAACAATGCTTCTAACTCGTTTAGAATAAGTTAACTGGGGCCTGATAGTAATATGGGTTGGGTGTTTGCCTTGCATGCATGCAGCCAACCTGGGTTCGATCCATGGTCTCCCCGTGTACCACCAGGACTTATTCCTGAGTGCAGAGCCAGGCGTAATCCCTGAGCATTGCTGGGTGTGACCCCAAAAAGCCAAAAAAAAAAAAAGTTAACTACAAATCAACTGGAACTAAGCAAGCCCCTCGAGTTCTGTAAAAGAGTTTATTTTTTTTTTTTCCTTTAATGGGGGGGAGGGAGGTCACACCCAAGAAATGCTGGGAATCCAATCTGGGCCGGTCACGTGCAAACCAAATGCCCTAGCCACTGTATTATCACTTCAGCCCCAAAGAAGTAAGTTTTCATGCAGGATCTGATTTTTTTTTTTCATTTACGGAATGCTTTTTAATTAATATGAATGATTGAAATCCTGTTCTCGTACTTGGTGAACAAACATGTTCTATTTGTTTAAAGAAGTTTTCATGGAAAACATTTTCAGAAAGTAATGAAGGCATAACTAACTGAAATGAACAATTTCTAGAAACACATGTAAGCGTGCTAAAATACATTTTATTTTAATGTTCCTTCAAGTTATTTTTCAGTTCTGTCTTTGGGTCACACCCAGCAGTCACTGAGTCTAGTCTCCCCTGCCCCTCCCAGTCCCTTCCCCTGCTTCAGGAGAGGTTGGGGGGGAGGAGATACAGGGGATCCCCAGGGGCTCCTGCATACAAAGCACCTACTCCAGGCCACCGAGCCATCTCCTGAGTCAGAGCTGAGAGCCGTTTTAATTAAAAATGTCTTTAAAACTGCCCTTTTGGCTCCCAAGTCAAGTCAGCATGTTGATGTCTGTAAGTGTTTGCTGGCAAAACACACAACCTAGACACAAAGATCCCAACGCACCAAAAACCAGGAATGCATTTGCTGCTGCTATTAAGTGCTCAGCAAGCCAATGAACTAGGCCACTAATTGCTGTACCGAACATTTCAGAGCTGGCTTCAAAACTCGGAGCATTCAACACCGGTAGGCAGAGGCTTGATTAACGTTCCACTCTTGAGAACAGGAAGCCGTCTTACGCAGTGCCAGAGTGACAAAGAACACCTACAGACCTATGCCTACCGAGGTCAGGAAAACTTAACAGGCCAGCTTACCTTTTTCTAGATATTCTTCCAACCCCCGACGTCGGGCATCCAACTGCTGTTCTGACAGAGAGAACGGCCACTTCCCTGGCAGCCGGGGAAATGTAAAGTTGGCAAACTCTCTCTTCAGGTTCTGGTGTAGGATGGCAAACTCCCGGTACCGCTTAGAACACAGCTGCCTGCCTGCCATGTAAACGTTGTACACCTGGAGGAGGAGAAAATGCCTGATTACTGCAAATTTAATCATATGACCATCTCAAACCAAGCAGACTCAGTTTGACACGGTGGCTGAGTTGTATTCCACTTGACGCTTAGCGGAGAATCCGGTCTGGCTCACGCATGCAAAGACCTGCCAGAATCTACATGTGAAAACATTCTTTCTTTCTTTCGCTTTTTGGGTCACACCCGGCGATACACAGAGGTTACTCCTGGCGGTGCTTGACGGACCATATAGGATGCTGAGAATCGAACCTGGACCGGCCACGTGCAAGGCAAAAGCCCTACCCTCTGTGCTAGCACTCCAGCCCGGGTCACTCTTTCAAGGGGCTAATGATATTATTTTTGTTATTGAAATGAGTCTTTTTTGGGCCTTTGATTATGAAACTCAGATGACCAAGCACGGTTGGTTGAAGAAAGAGGGATGTCGAGGTGGACTGGAGGTGCCGGGGACAGTGGGGAAGGGTCTTGGCCACACTTGCAGTGGAAGAAGCTTTGTACACCCAAATCAGAAACATTAACATCATTGTGATCATCTTACCCAAACTGTAATAAAAGTTATCATTTATAAAAAAAAATAAAGTCAGTTAAAAATATAAAATTACTCATAATGTAGTTTGAAATACTTTTAAAGCCAATTATCAGGGTTGTTTTGCTTTGTTCTGGGGTCACGCCTGGTGGTGCTCAGGGATCACTCCTGGCGGGGCATGGGGGCCCATTCCAGGGACTGAACCCAGGTCTGCTGGTAGCTAAGGGCTATTAGATAAAGGAGAGGGGCTGGATGGGGGGCTTGTGGGGCTTTTCAACCCAGAACCCTGGCGCCAAGGCGAACGCGACCTGGCCGGGTCCTGTAACTGCTCTTTCTCCTCGAAGAATCTCCCCTCCAGAAAACCCATTACAAAGATGTTTGTCCTGATAAACTATAACATGTTAGCCCAGATAGCTGAAGATGGTCAGGCATCTGACCAAAGAATGTTCATCTCCTGATGATCACTGGCTTAAAGCAACAAAGGCTGTGCTTGAGGGCAGTCAGGCTCATCCACGAGGCTCAAGCCCTCTGGCCCTGCTTTTTCTCTCTTAGTTGTCTCTCTTCTCGATCTTTCGTGGCATGCCTGCTTCATCCACACTCTACCTGCCGCATTACTGCTCGGGCTTCGGCAATGATCTGCCTTTTTTTTTTTCTTTTTGGGTCACGCCTGGTGATGCACAGTGGTTACTCCTGGGACCACATGGGGTGCTAGGACTCGAACCCAGGTTGGCCACGTGCAGGGCAAACGTCCTTCCGACTGTGCTATCACTCCAGCCCACGATGATCAGCTCTTCAGGGTACACTGAATCTTCAGAAACTGAGGCTGTCATTCATTCAGTCAATGTGGCATATACATTGAAGCGGGCAAATTTAGAGAAGTCTGTAAACATCTAGGGGTGATTATGGAAAGATGCGACTGCTACTTGCAGGTGGCTCTAAAGCCGCTTTCTCTGATCTCGGTCTACCCGCAGACAGGCAGTTCCAACTAAGGAACTAATGAGCCTTCCTGGTCAGCGCAACAGCGTCTGGAGACAACGCGCTGGTGGCCACAGCCAAGAGCCGGAAGTAGGTCCAAGCGCCACCAGGTATGCTTCCGAAAGGAAAACTAAGTCACTTCCGAAGAAAAGAGCTAAAAATGACTTAGGGCTAGGAACGTAGCTGAATGGGTGGCAGAGTGCACCATTTACAGGTACAAGTCCACTCCCGGCAACTCAATCATCACTGAATCAATGAATGAGTCAATCAACATGACCCCAGATATAGTAGGACTTTTATTGATTGACTGATTGATTTTTTTGCTTTTTGGGTCACACCTGGCGATGCTCAGGGTTTACTCCTCGCTTTGCATTCAGGAATCACTCCTGGCGGTGCTCGGGGGACCATATGGGATGCTGGGAATCGAACCCGGGTCGGCTGCATGCAAGGAAAATGCCCTCCCCGCTGTGCTACTGCTCCAGCCCCGATATCGTAGGCCTTTTATTAGCCAAGAATTGTTACAGAAACTCTTTCGGGGCTGGGCTCAGCGGCTGAGTGCACATCATTTACTCTACAGGAGTGGGAGCGAGGGAGGGAGGAGGGAGGGGAGGAAGAGGACAGGGACAGAAGTCCCTCAAGGACCTAGTGATACTACACTCACTGGCATCTATCCCCCAACCGCAACCATTATCTAGAAGGATCCATGCACACCTCTGTTCATCACGGCACAAGATATGAACGTGACCCCAATACCCAAGATGGATGAATGGATCACCCGACTGTGGATAACAGGATTCTCTGTAGCTCTAAGAAAGAACAAAATCATGTCATGTTACAGGATGAGGTGGGTGGAACCAGAGGGTGTCAGAGTGCCGTCAGCCAGGAGGACAGGGACAGACGCAGAATGAGCTCTCACGTGTGGGACTCAGAGAGACACACAAGAGAGAGCAACAGAGACGACACCACGGTAGCACAGAGCCACACAGCTGAGTTCGGGTGCGGGGATGAGAGGGAGGGTCCTGGTACACCGGTGAGAGAGTGGGCTTAGAGTTAGACGCGTGGGAAAACTACATTAGCAGGTTAACAGTAACGCAACTCACAGCACCTCGATTAATTTCAAGTTTTTAAATATGACCATAGAAAATGCATTCTCTGAACTTGAAAAGGAAGACGATCTAGTACGAACTACGGGCAGGCAGGCAGGCAGTGAGCTGACCACTTACCTCGCAGACTGGCCAGCTCATGTATGAAATTGTAATGGACTAGTTCAGTATGCAACAACCAAGCAGAACTTGATTACTGGTTTGCTCTTCGACTTAGCGTACTCTTCAGGGAGTTAGACGATGAAGGAGAAGGGATGAATTATGGATGGGGAAAGAGTAATACTGATCTGATCGACGGTCTAATTTTGTAGCTCTGAGTTCTTTAAGGTAAAGTTTTGAAATTCACCTTCAGTGAGAGCAATAGATGGGCAAGGAAGGCCCTTGCCTTGCACGTGGTTCAATCCCTGGCACTTTCCAGTGCTCCTCTGAGCACCGCAAGGATTTCTGAGTGCAGAGCCAGGAACAAGCCCTGAGCACCGCCAAGAGTGGACCCCAAACCAAAAAAAAAAAAAAAAAAAAAGAAAAAAAGAAAAGAAACAAAATTCCCCTCCAGTAACTTCTAAATTTCTCAATATACTGAAAATCCATGACAAGTCACTTTTTTCTCTGGTTTCATGACCTAAACTCTATGGAATGACGGCCAGAAAATAATTGATAAATTCTGACAGTGAGTTAACCACTGTTAAGCAAAGCAATTCCAGTATTACTTGGGGCTCTGGATTCGATTGTAAAAATGGAAAATCCCAAATAACAGTTATTTTTGATTTTTTTTTGTTCTTTATAATCTCTACCACAAATTTCTTTAGATGATGTGTGTGTGTGTGGGGGGGGGGGGATTGGGGCCACAAGCCTGGCGGTGCTCAGGGTTTCCTTCTGGCTCAGCACTCAGGATCACTCCTGGCAGGGCTCGGGGACCATGTGGGTTGCTGAGGGTTAAACCTGGCTTAGTCACATGCAAGGGGCGTGCCCTACCCAGTGTACTATCTTCCGTGCCCACCACCTACAGATTCTGAAAGCTTTTTTTTTTTTTTTGGCTTTTCGGGTCACACCCGGCGGTGCTCAGGGGTTACTCCTGGCTTTGCACTCAGGAATCACTCCTGGCAGTGCTCAGGAGACCATATGGGATGCTGGGAATCGAACCCGGGTCAGCTGCGTGCTCCGCAGCTGTGCTATTGCTCCAGCCCCCAAGATTCTGAAAGCTTTTTATTCGGAGTCCTAGAGATCAAACCCAGTGGCAAGTTCTCTACCACTGAGCTACGTGCCCGGACTTTCCGGAGTGTTTATTGTTCTTTTTTGGGGCTATGCCTGACTGCTCAGGCCTTCCTCCTGGCTCTGCACTCAGGGATCACTGCTGGCGATGCTTAGAAACCGTTTGTGGTGTCAGGGATCGAGCCTGTGTCAGCCGAGCGCAGGGTAAGTGCCCTGCCCACTGTACTCTCTCCGGGCCACTCTTAAGGTTTTAAATGGTAATACCTCATTCTGTATATACTCTAAATATTAAGATTCTCATTTTCTCAACTCTCCAGTCATCGACGGGAACTGGGCTACAGACACATAAAGGAACTTCTCCTGAGAGAACTTTTTCTTGCGAGGAAAAGGCTGCACAGGCCGCAGAGGCCACGGCCCGACATGCCCCAGCACCACCAGGGGTCACTCCTGAGCCCAGAGCCAGGAAGGGCGACCGAACACCACTGGGTGTGGCCCAGAAACAAAAGCTGAAAATTTTGCTTAGTGCAAAGACATTTTAAGTCAGCAACAGGATCTCTTGGCCATAGCAGTGGCCTCTAAGTATGTCTCCTGAATGCTTTGCACTGACGAGGTTCATGGCACCAACCTGGATTGTTCTTCAGTGTAGATTATAACCCCCAAAATTGTTTCGCAGTACACTCAATTACAATATTTAGTTAAAAATCGCTTTTGGGGGGGCAATGAGGATTTGGGGCGCACCCACCTTTGTGCTGAACTGGGCAAGAAAAGTATCTCACCCCGTGATACCTCTGTGTCCCTAAAACTTACTCTTTAAACAGATCCATTATTTGCTGTTCACAAGCTGCGAAAGGAGACAGGGCATTCTCAGCTGATCGCTCTATCCAAAAACTAAAGTACTTATGCTCTTTCTTGAGCGATAGCTGGAGCGATAGCACAGCGGTAGGGTGTTTGCCTTGCACGCAGCCAACATGACCGACCCGAGTTCGATTCCTCCGCCCCTCTCGGAGAACCCGGCAAGCTACCGAGAGTATCTCGCCTGCACGGCAGGGCCTGGCAAGCTACCTGTGATGTATTCGATATGCCAAGCACAGTAACAACAAAGTCTCCAATGGAGATGTTACTGGGCCCGCTCGAGCAAATTGATGAACATCGGGAGGACAGTGACAGTTACAG